AAGCCATCGACGGGATCCAGTTTCATGTTGTTGTGCATGAGAACGTCGTCCACGTCCTGCATAGCATACGAGCAATTGAATCTTCTTTCGCACTGCGATGCAAGAGAAAGTCGTCTCGTTCTGCATAGCAGATGCGCAAATGAATCTTCTTTCACATGGCGGTGGGGGAGAAACTCGTCTCATTCCGCGTAGCAGACGAGCAAGGAGATATTCTTTCGTGTTGCGGTACAAAATAAAACCATTCTCGTCTTGTGTAACAAACAAGTAACATGATCTTCTTTCACGTTGTTGTCCCGTCATGTGTAGCAGTCGATCAATAGGTTCTTCTTTCGCACCAGTGAGATGAATAAAATTATCTTCCTTTGAGCTAAATGATAAAATATTTTTAAACTAGGCAATAATACTAATCAATCAATAATGGAAATGTTGCTAAGAACTTTTTTTTTGTGATAATGAATTGAGCATTGTCAATAAACTATATGGCAACTTTATAATAAAAGCTTAAAATAAAACATTTATCATCTTCATGTTTTTCTTAGCTAAATGATAAAATACTTTTAAAATAATTTTATAATGATAATATTTATGTGTTAGATATGGACAAAATCAGTGAAAATATTTCTATCAAATGCTTAAAACATCTCCAAATGAACCTTCTTCATGAAATAAGTGACTCTTTTATGCCATCATAAGAAAGATTCTTCTGATGAATTCATAGCTTCTGATTTATGAATGCAGAAGATTCCAAATTACTTAATTTTCTTAATTCATAATGACAATGAAGTTGAGTTTAAATTTGATAATTTTAAAACATTTAGAAAAAAAAATTTAAAATTAAATATAAATTTTAGCTCTTGGACATCTCAACAAATTGGAATAATAAGAATAAAAAAATTAGATTGTATTAGAGGTGTCATATTCCATGTTAATTTAATACAACTTGAATGTTTTTTAATCCAGATTAGTAATATTAATTTTGCAATCAATTATGTGAAGCATTGACTTATATTTTAGGAAATGTATGCTTCCAAGGGGGTAGAAAGTCTAATTTATCTCCCTTATATCTTTTTATTAGTAAATGCTTTTTTATAAATAATAAAAAAGGCTAATTTTTATCATAAATTGGATGAGGTAATATTCTAGAGTTATTCACACTCAAGTAATAATATTAAAATATTCAACAATAGAAGATTAGTAGGTTGGGTTTGGGCTAGGATGGGCTTAGGCTAGGTTAGGTTTGGGCTAGGTTGAGTTTGGGTCAGGTTGGGTTAGGTTTGGGCTATGTTGGGTTCGACTAAGGTTGAGTTCGGGTCAAATTTCAATTTATTTTCACATAAATAATAAAATATAGTAAAATAGACACACATTAAAAATAAAATAAAAATAAAAAACTTTCAGATCACAAGAAGGAGAAGGAAGGCCATAGAATAAGCAAACACTCGAGGAAGTTTGTCAGAGTACCACCAAAGAGGGAGGATCTTGGCATTTAGCACGACGTCGACTTTGATGATTAACAAATTAGCATTTGTAGTGCTAGATGGATCTTAATTTTGATGTGGGCCCAAATAATTAAAGACTTCTAGAGAAGAAGTTCTTGACTTAGAACTTAGTGCTACCTTAAATGATGATCCTCTTACTTGGCAAAAGGGTGGTATCAATATTTGAGAGATGTATATGAGGATCTCGACGTTAAGTTTGATGTCAACCCAGATGATTAAAGTCTTCTAAATGATAAGCTCTTAACTTAAAGCTTAGTGTCTCTTTGAATAATTGGACCCCTTGCCAATATTTGGTAGATATATTTGCAAATTTAGACGTTGAGAATGTTGATCCAAATACTTAAGAGGGCCACTTGTCTTGCAACAAAAAAAAAAAAAAAAAATAATAATAAATAATAATAATAATAATAATAATATCAAAAAAAAATAATAATAAAAAATAATAATAATAATAATAATAGAGTAGATTGAGAATTTTTTGGGATCTCAATTTAGAGGATGGTGTCGAACCAATTAAACTAAGAAATGCCCCTCGTCTTACATCAGCAACTACAAAAGTATGAAATGTTTTGAGGACATTCGCCTAAAGCATGATATCAACCCAAATGAAATGAGAGAATTTTTTGCATTCACTCATTGATTTGTAATATCAATTGCTCACATCAATTTTTTGATATAGAATGACAAGTATTCTCACCACCATGATTAAATTTTCTTAGATTTGATACCTACTCAAAATTTTCTCTTTCATCTTAAATTTGATAATCTCTTCACACGTTGGAGTTAATGACATACCTTTATCTTGTTGTTTTTTATGTATTAGAGATTGAGGAATAACTGAAAGCACATCCTACTATTATGATAATCTCTCCGCCGGTGAGTTCAGAGCTTGTTGATATTGAAGTCCTTTAGTAAGCTTTTCAAGTTGTCGACCTTTAAGAGATTCATCAAACAACCTTTTTCAAAATTCATCTTTGAACGATCTTGTTAATGAAAAATCTCAAAGAGTATAAATTAGATGTCACACTAATCTCTCTGATCATTTCAACTTTATAAATCGTGAGCTATTATCACAAATGGAAGATAGCAACTTCGTGATTAGAACATTAGAGCTTTATTGCTCTTAATCACCATAATTATTTAACAACTTCTCTTTCTTAAGTCATTTATTTGATAACTTTGAAAATCTTGTGTGCTCTATAGCAAATGAAGTTTCAGGCTACTTATTTTTAGTAGTAATAACTTTATATTGTTGACCCAAAAAGATTGCTTATTGACACCAATAGAAATGTTCCCTTTTAATCCATTTTGGATTTTTTGAATTAGTTGTGGGTAAGATTACTCACTTTTGGGACTAGAGCTTATTGAACGAACATTTGCTTAAGCAATAGTTGTTGAGCCCTTGATTCAATATTTCTCATTCTCATTTGCCTTCTAGATAGTTTTCCTTTTGATCAGGAAGATTCAATATTGTGTCTTCTTAATGCAAGAAGTTGAATATGCAAGTAGTCATATTCACAAACACTAATAAAATTTTTTATCCAATTATAATTATTTTCACAACTAGGATATTCTTTGAGGAACAATATGAAATGTACAACTTGCATGTACTTTAACAAAATGAGATCTCCTGAAATAGCTCCGAACAAACACAATAGTATCCCTATCATTAGCAATGGAAATCTTTGAACATCAAGCTGGATAGTGACCATGCATAGTAGAATTTCTTATAACAAACTATTTCTCTTTTCAAAATTAGACTTTGTAGGGTGTCATCAACTATAGCAATTGCCATCAGAAATATTTTCTTTAAGAATCAAACTTCAACTGATTTCTAAAATTGAACCCCATAGATTATAATATTTAACCTGTAAAAGTGAAATTATGCTAGTAATAACAGTGATTTTCAAGCATACATGGTTCACTATTGAAACCTTCAATAGTGAAAACTTAGATTTAGAACTTCAGTATCACACCCCAAGCTAACCAAATAGAGTTTATTTTTTTGATGGGACCTTTTAGTAGCAGGCACTTGAATTGTGATTCAAGTTTCAAACTCTGATGTTAAACAAATAAATTGTCTGCTAGTTGGGATTTTTCAGTAACAAACTCTTAGATTGATATTTTCGTGCCATAATCTAATGCTCACAAGAGAGACTTTGTCTTTCTATTGGGACGTTTCAGTAGCAAACTTCTAGATTGAAATTCAAGTGCCATGCTTTGATGCTCACCATAGTAAATTTGTTTTTTTTTTTTTTGGTTGGGACTTTTTAGTGGTAGATTTTTAGATTAAAAACTACGAGCCATATCTTGATGTTCACTTGATATAGTATATCATTTATTGGGATCTTACGGTGGCTGACTCATCTACTAAGATTTAAGGGTCAAGCCCCAACTTTAAACAACACATTTACTCAAATTTATGAGGAATTTCAATAAATTAAATAATTTAACTTTAATTTAAATTTTAATTATTATCTTTAAGTTGTTAATATCTTGATTATATTACTAGCTAAAAATGGAAAGAGAAGCTTCTCCGTGAAATCTCTAGAAACCCGTAGGCTCCAAAATTTGTGCCCTTGACTCTCGTTGTGAGAGCTTTGCATTTATGTTATAAGTCAAAATTTCAAAAAACCGATTAGATTGTAGATAAGACACTACCTAGAGATTTTAACCTTATTTTGGGAGGATTTTTTTGATCTAGGGTTCGAGTTTTCCCTTAGGCGTAAGCTCCTACGATCACTTACACCTCTCAATGATGGGAGAGCACTTTCAATAAAGACTAGTTATTAAGAATTTAATACTCAACATATTGTGGCAGTAGAGTTAGGAGTTAGGTTATATAATTTACCACCTTGACTTTAAAGTTGGTTGTAGGGGAATGATGACAAACCCGCTCCACATCTTTTCATCCTCGGTTATCATGAACTTTGGTTTGCTTATTTATAGAAGATAGTCAACCTAACCTAACTGAATGACTCTTGTCAGCAACTGATACAAATGACACTTGTAGATTTGGCGTAAATGTTTGGCTAAAGGGTCAAATTAAGGGACCTTAGCTAATAGGAGGCATTGTGTTAATCAAATGTAGCTTATGATTCAAAACTCAAATAATAGACAACCATTAAGAAACATATGAGCTATGATTTTGATCGCATATAATGATATCATTAGACAACAACCACTCGGTTAGAATGCTCAGATCGTAACCGCTACTTTTTTTAGAATTGTTAGACCAAACCGCATGAACGAAGAACTCAACCACGATCTTACTAGTGTGAGATTTGAGTGTGAATATGATGATAAATACTTTATGATATTCGCTGTGAATATATGCATATATATAATCAAATCCAAACAACTAAATTTTGAAAAAAAAAAAAAAAAAAAGAGAGAACTTGAAAGAATATATTCTCAATTAAGAGAATATATTATATAACAATGACTTTGAGATTTCATGTTACGATTACACAATTACTTTCTTTTCACTACAAAAAGCCATCATCTGTTTTGGAAATTTAGAATTTTGATTGCAAAACCAAATAAGGAAGCAAATAAGATTGCAAAGAAGACTACCATAACTGCCACCACCAACAAAAAATCTTGCTTAAATCCAAAGTAATCACTAAGGAACTCTGCCACGGTCTGTTTTGTGTCAAGCAAATTATGGTCATTTCCATATTGTGATACAAACAAACCATATAGAGTCCATGAGAATGGACAGACCCAATAGAACCAACAATAAAACCAACTCCACCAAATTGGCATCGCCTGCAAACCAAACGAAAACAACAAATATAATTAATAAAAATATATAGAAAGCATATTTAAAATAAAAAAAATAACTATATTCCATCAATTGATTGAAATATGATGACTTTTGTTAGTGGTAGCATATTTTAAAAAAATACTATATAATCCTCCAATCACTCAAATATGATGATTACTTTTCATAAACAAAAGAGAGAAACCAGAATCATATTCCGAATAGAATTATCTTGAATTTAATCATTTGTAGATATAAAATGTTTAAATTTCCTAGATCCTATCATTTTATTACATGCAAGAAGTCTACATTAATTTTGAAATCTGTAAGCAAAATATTGCATGCAAAATCATTTCATTCTACTAAATATTTTCTATTACAAGAAATCAAATAAGCATTGGCGAAGTTTGAACTTACGGTCTTGGAAATGATAAATCCCGAGAAAAGGCTCCACATTTCATAGAAAAAAGACGAGAAAATGGAAGCAACGGTGTCGTTTGGCGTCAAGCCGGCAGCTAACATGCCATAATACGTATAATACAACAACGTGAAATATGTGAAGTAGAAGTACCATAAGAATTTTGTTGTCGTCCACTCAAACCCAATCATCGAATAGACAATAGTGCAATACATTAGAGATTGAACGAAGATATATGGTAGCTCAACTGCAATCTGAAAATTGCAATATTAGAAATGTTAGTACTCTTTAAGTTCTAAATGACACAAAGAGGAAGGTAATAAAGTGTCATACTTGTCCAAAAGCGTAAGGAAATGCTGAATACATTCCAGCAGCTCTTTCTCTATAGAAGGCAGTGCGCTCAATAGCAACAACTGGTTGTACTCCAATAGAGTATGAAGCCCCCATGAAAAATACAGTTCCAAACATTGAGCCCATAACGTTTAACAGATCCTGTTCTGTGTCTCTGCAACCAAATCATATGTGAATATAACTAGCGTCGCTATAACCAATTTAATGTAAGTTTAAGAAAAAAGGGGAATTTATGCGTATGCCACCCAATTGCGATGTAGTTACATATGTAACACCTAAATTTTACCTTTTACATTTATACCACGCAAAGCATCCATATCACATCAAAAACACCGCCAGTCGAACATTTAAAAAGTGAAATACACCTTTACATTCATAAGTAAAGTAGCATGTGTGTAAAAATTAAATGTAAATACATAGGAATTGAGTGGTATGTATGTAAATCTTCCAAGATAGAATATATTTGTGAACTTACTTTTTACTACCAAGATTCCAGAACATTGAACCAAACATCAAGGCTATCGTAATGGTGAAAAAAAATCTCACAGCAGAATAGATAGGATTCCTCCAATATGACAAGTTGTGTTTCCATAAGCATGCAATACATTGTGTTAGGAAGGGCTGCGAATATTTTGTTGGAAAACATAAATCACTTGATCCAAAAGACGGTTGGCTTAGTTCCATAATTAATGCTTTGTTCCTCCTGCAAAACATTAGTTAAGAAACATGGATTTGTGACGAGCATCACTTTGAACTAGATGAAGGATTAGACAGATGCTTTACTGGTACAATTCAGAGTTCTTGTAAATTTCATTGAAATTGACACCTAATACTTCTTCCTGTGATGATGTTGTAACTTCCAACATCCAAGTTGCAGGATTGCAGCCATCCTTTATTTTCGTGACGCCTTGAATGCTCTGGATAATTAAATAGCACAGTAATAAACGCATAAATACAAAACATTTGAATATCTCTAGCTAATCTTAACTCCAGACGCAATACACTTACTGTGTTGCAAGACATTTTCATCAAATTTTGAAGCCAAACATTTATATATAAGAAAAAAAAGTATTTTTATTACCTCAAAATAGTTTGTAAGTTGATGAGAACTGTTCCCCAGTGGTCCATAATATATCTCTTCACCTCCTAACTTCATCAGTAAGAGCTGTAATTGAAAAACTAAATATGAACTTAATGAAATTTATTGTATAAGATATTCATAAATGACATTATAAAACATATTCATTAAATATGACAACTCGCCTCATCAAAGGATTCAAATATTTCGATACTCGGTTGGTGAATTGTGCACACCACCGTCCTTCCTGTGTCAACCGTGTTTCTAACAGCTCTCATTACAATAGCAGCCGACCTAGCGTCAAGCCCGGAGGTTGGCTCATCCATGAATATTATTGAAGGATTTGCAACGAGCTCAACGGCAATGGTTAATCTCTTACGTTGCTCGGTCGATAATCCAGATGTTCCAGGCAATCCAACCAATGCACCTTGTGATGTTCTCATCTCAACAAGATCCATCACCTCATTAACAAACATCTAATATCCAAAACATTAAGAGAAAAATATTTATATTGCTGAAATGAAGAGAATATATAGCTATATATTTTGCTCACTTTTCTAGTCACTGAATCAATTTCGGGAGGAAGACGAAGCCACGCAGAATAAATAAGGGATTCATAAACTGTCACATATGGAGAGTGGATGTCATCTTGTTCGCAATATCCTAAAACACGAGCAAAGGTTTCTTGCTTCTTGGGATATCCTGAAATGGTGATGGTTCCCTCTGTATATCCTCTGGTCTTCCTACCTGCGAGTACATCCATAAGAGTAGTCTTTCCTGCTCCACTAACACCCATTAGAGCAGTAAGCACTCCTGGCCTAAAACAACCACTAACGCCTTTTAGAAGAACCAACCTATCCTCAGCTCCAGGAGATCTCATTTCCTTTAAATTTGTTCATATTATTTGATATCAATAGTTGTTTACACATTAATTTGATATGCTAACACTCATATGCACATAGTTATCAAGTTTTTAGATTATAATTTACCTTTGGCATGTCCACTGAATATCTTATATTGTCAAATGTGATGCAACGTGGTAAAAATGGAAGCACCATTCCTTCCCTTTCATCTGAATTAGGAATTCTAGCACTTCCTGCCCTTAACATTCTTGTTTTTTCATCTACATGAAATCATGATAAGTTTTTATTTTTTCCAAGAACACTACTGTAATATAGATTTGTTAAAATAAGTACTTATTTAGACTTGTAACTGGAGGAGTTCCTACCTCTTGATTGCAGCGTTGATTTTCCAAATATGCTCTTCTGTTTCTCTATCAAAGTCTCCTCAGTAATAGTTGATCGGTGCTTCCCAAGTGCTATAAATTAAAAAAAAGAGTGTGATTTAGCTGCATTATATGATTACTGTTGAGCATGAAAATTCTTACGTTTGAGATTAGAGAGAGCAACAATGAAAAGAAAGTTGAATAGGAGAACATATCCAAGCAAAGCTCCAACACCAATCCAATACCAATTTGCTTCCGGAAATATTCCTCGAGACTTTAAGATAGTTATTCCAAGTGTTTCATTTGTTCCAGGTAAAATCTACAGCAAATTCAAGAACCATGGTCATACCATTTCCATAATACCTCGCACTACTATGAAATTATATGACTTGTTAATAGACAAATATATTACATGGCTCCAACTCTTGCCTAAGAACTCGTTTACTGAAATAGCATTTTGTGAGTACATTACTGGTGATGCCCAATAAGCCCATAACCACCATTTCTTCACATTCCCTGCCAAATGAAGAGGCATTGTTGTTAAGAAATTGCTATTATAACACATGGTAAAATGATGGTACAACCAATATCTATCAATAAATAAATTCAAAATATATATATATATATATATATATATAACCACAAATTGGTGTGCTTTCACAACATCAACATCAACAACAACAACAACAACAAAGCCTTAATCCCACTACGTGGGGTAGGCTACATGAATTTTTTTTCTCCATTGCGTCCTATTTAGTGTCATTTTCATATAGTTCTAATAAATTAAGACCATTTTTTATACAATAAGCCCAAGTCTTCATGGATCTACCTCTGACTTTCTTAACATAAGTCGAATCTAAAACATCTACTTTCCTAATCAGATCATCAAATGGTCGACGTTTAATGTGACCAAATCATCTAAGACGACTCTCTCTATTTTTTTCCGTCACTAGAGCTACACCAACCCTATCACGAAGATATTCATTTCACATTTTGTCTCTAAGTGTAAAGCCACTCATCCACCTAATCATTCTCATCTCGACAACACTTAACTAAGTATTATGCTTCTCTTTTAAAGGCCAACATTCAGTGACATAGAGCCTCACCACCATCTTATAATTCTACAATTGCTTGAATAAGTTTTGAGTATGATTCAAACCAATACCTTAGATATCATTGACTCATTTTGTTTAGCTTCTTATGTAGCTTGAATTCTACTATAATAACATCCCCATCTATATCACCATCACTTTGAATAATAAATCTGAGATATCTTAAATATTCACACCTTTTAATGATTTGATCAGCCATAATTACAACTATGTCACTAGAGTTACTACTACTAAAATTATATTCCAAGAATTCAGTTTTAGTTCTACTCAAACGAAGGCCTTTAGACTCCAATGTAGACCTCCATAATTACAGTTTTCCTGAACTTTTTCTCTAGTTTTATCCACAAGAAGGATATCATTAGCAAAGAACATACAACAAGGTACATCCTCCTGTAAATGTCCAGTAAGACCATCCATAACTAAAGCAAAAAGATATGGGCTTAAAGCCGATCCCTGATATAATCCAACAGAAATAGGAAAAAAATTGGTCAATCCTCCTTAAGTTCAAACATAAGTAATAGCTCTAGTTTACATATCTTTAATGACTTAAAGTATATTTCGTATGAATACCTTTCATTTCTAGAACTCTCTTAAGAACTTCATCAATAACTCTCCAAAGGATATCTCTTGGAACCTTATCGTAAGCTTTTTCTAAATAAATAAAAATCAAATGTAGAACAAAAATTATATGTAGATCCTCATTCTTTTGTTTCTTTCCATCAAATCTCTCAATAATTGTATAGCTTAAAATACCTATAGCTTCCATAGTAGAATAAATCCAAATTACTTATGAGAAATCTTTGTAATACGTCCTAACCTATGTTTAATTACCCTCTCCCATAATTTAAAAGTATGACACACCCCTTTATTCAATCAACTTAATTCCTAAATACTTTTCCTCCACTCCTCAGACATCTTTTTAGTTTTAAAAATAATAATAAAGAGTTTTTAAGCCAAGAAACTCTCAAATCCTCAGGCATCTTTTTAGTTTTTTAGTTTTTAAAATAACTTATACAATGTTCAAAAGAATTCATGTTATGATTTTATTTCGACATGTTTTACACTGGCTGTCGACTACCTAATGCAACACTCCACTTTTCACATCCGGGCTTGGGACTGGTAATGACGGTGTTTATACACACACACACAAGAAAAAAGACAATTATATTACATGGCTCCAACTCTTTCCTAAAAATAAGAATTTTTTTTGAAATAACTGAGTAAGAAAAAATTATTTTTAATAAGATTGTTATATAGAGATGAACAAAAATTTAGACGATCTTGATAAAACAATAACACAGCTCTAACTTAAGTTGAATATCACAAACACAATGAAAATGACTTACTTGGTTATACCATACATTTTCACACCTAAAATATAGAAATTTAAATTTATGAGCTGGTGAGAAACGAACCGTGTGAAATTAAGAATCCACCCAACACCAGAATCACCAAGAATGTGAAGCCTGCCAATACGTTGGCAAAAACTAGTGTTCTTCCCACTACTGCAATCAAGCGAAACAATCCTGAAGCCATTTGATTTATAAGAAGCAGCAGAAGGTAATGTTTGAAAAACCTACAGAAAAAAGAAAAAAAAAAGAAAAAGAAAAAAATAGGACCCGCCAAAACTAAATGCTCTGATAAAACATGGAAGTTCAAGTTAATTTAAACATTTCTAACCTTTCTAAACTTAAATCATACCCTACGGTGAAGTAAGTGAGAAGCACCCAAATGGCTACTTCAAGGCATGAAAATGGTAGGTTTAAGATCCAAGTCGGTAATGCAAACGCCCATGCTGGATAAAAGTTATTGTCCCTTTGCTTAAAATAGACAGGTAATTTAAGAATGGTTAAAGTAAGCTCCGAGAAACCATAAAACAAGGAAATGAAAATCGAGAAAAAGAGCGCTCCAATGTAAATCTGTCCATCATCCGTAGATCTGTGAGGCATTTCTGTCTTCCAGAAGAGTGACATCACTATAATTGCCATAAGCATGACCTGAAAGCAAAGAAAATGAAGCACGAATTTGATTTGTGGTTTGAAGTATTTACTAAATAGCACACAGTTCTTATTTATTTACATATCTCACACGTAAACTTTCATATTTACACAAATAGCAGTCAAATCTTTAATATCATATAAAAAATAGCATTATTATCACTTTTTAAAAGTGGAATACACCTCATCATGCATAAGTTTAAATGAACAAAATGCTAGGTGTAAATATGAAAGTATAGGTGTGAGATCTGTTAATACAAAAGAATTGCGTGCTAGGTAAGTAAATTTTCCTAGATCTTATCTAAAGAGGTGTTGTCTTACTTCAAAAGCTCTAAATACATAAACAAAGAATATTCTCTTCATTTGAATCAGCTCTCTTTCAGTACAGGTTTTCAGTAGTTCAATTCTACTAACACCAAACTTGAAGGTTTTTAAAGCAGCAGGGTGGCTCTTGCTCCTATCAAAGGAAACAGATAGCTCTTTTTGAAGATTTTTCCGTACATGAAATGAGGAAAAAGCTTTTGCGAATTCCTCAACGGTCACATAGACATAAGGTTTATCATTTCGTGCCCAATATTGTTTTTGATCTTTCATAGAATTCACCTGAGAACATAAGCAAACAATTAGCTTGTGTTAAAATATATGTATACGCTGGAATTGTTAAGCCAAATTTCTATAAATATTAATCTTTAAAAGGAGTGATCGAATCAACCCTTCAAGGAAATTTTTTGAGTAATAAAATTTTAAAGGCTATTGAATATTTGAAGATAATGTATTGATGTAAATATCTTCATGAGATCATCTATTTGGTTTTGAGAAATTTTGTGAGATTTTTTATGACTCCAAGAGTTCATGTAAAATTTTGTGGGATTTTTATGACATTCTATTTCTCAAAACTCATTATTTGTTATCACTATAAATAAATTTTTAAATTTAAAAATGGTTTTGCATCTCATAATCTCAAGAAAATAGAGAGAAAGTAGAGCGGGTACTGTTGACGGTAAGAACTAAATAAAAAAAGGAAATTAAATTAAAGTAAAATTCTAATATCCCACACTCCTTTTCGTTATGGTCCTTATTTGAAACTATTCATAAATACTCCTAAAAAATGCATGACAGAAATCTTTGGACAAAAACTCCATCTTTCTCTTCGTGTTCGCAAGCCCCAGAAGGAATCACACGAAACCTATGCCAAAAGCTCTCATCGAACATAGTCACGGATAAGGCCAGCTGTGAAGACAACGACGAACTTGCATCATACATAGACCTTCAAACTGCCAACTTTCATTTCTTCTGTGCTTGGGAAAAGCAACGGGAGATCGCAGAATATAAGGAGCTCCAAAACTCCTAATTTCCCTGCTCCTCAATTTGAGCCCATCTCTTGTATCTTCTTCTTGTGTCGTCAACCTGAGCTGCAAGAACCGAAAGCTATGCAGTTCTTCATCCCTCCAATTTGTTGTTATTAGGATAGGATCTTAAAATATAGACACTCTCATAAGTAAATTAACAAAATTAGTAGATATTATGATTCACAAGAAGATAAATATCTTATGCACTCAAGAAACTAAATTGATTGGAGAAAAAGCTAACGAGATTGATAGCTTATGTTTTAACTTTATTATTCAGATAGGACTCTAAGATAAAATTTATAAAGATAATGTTGTAACAACTAAAGAATTAGAGATAAATTATAGTCCTAAAAATTTTTGTCAATACTAAGATTTTTAATATTATGAGTGCTTATGCTTTTCAAGTTGATATAAAAATAGGTTTCAAAGAAAAAATTTGGAATGTCCTAGAAGAATTAATACAAATAATACCTCTTAAAGAAAGAATTTTTATTGGAGGAGATTTAAATGGACATGTTAGTAGAGTGGTAGAAGATTTTAAAAATATTATTTTAAAAATATTCATGGTGACTACGGTTTTGAAGTGAGTAATGAAACATGTAGAAACATATTAGATATTGTTTTAACGTATGATTCTATTATTGTTGATATTTTATTTAAGAAAAAATATTGATATATTATTACTTAAAAGAAAGAATCTAATAAAACACAAATTGATTATTTTCTTATGAGAAAAATAGGTCGTCGAGAATGTAAGAATTGTAAGGGCATTCCAAGTGAAAATTTAAGTACTTAACATCAATTATTAGTTCTAGATTTTAAGATGAGAAATTATAAGATAAATAATACAATAAAATATTGTCATAGAATTAGATAGAGACACCTAGATAAATAAATAAAATTATTTTTATAAATAAACTTCAGAATTTTAAGATTTGAGGTGTTTATAAATAAGTTAATTCTATGTGGGATAACATAACAAACACTATTAAACAGGTGAAAAAACATATACTTGGAGGATAAAATTGAAAACTTTTTATACAAAAAAAATAGTTGGTGGTTGTATTATAAAGCGCAAGAAAAGATAAAGTATAAGAAATTATGTTATAAATATTGGTTTAAATGTAAAAGTCTAGAGAATTGAAAAAAAATATAAGGTGGCCCATAAGAATTCTAAGAGAATAATTTGTGATACTAAAAATTCTGTTTTTGGTGATCTTTATAATAAATTAGATATTGAATAGAATGAAAAATATATGTATAAATTAACCAAAGATAAAAGAAAAATAAAGATTTAATTCAGGTAAAATATATCGCCCTTTTCGACCAGACATCCCTGGACCCCTAGGCCACATTTATGTATAAAATATATCGCCCTTTTCGACCGGACATCCCTGGACCCCTAGGCCACATTTATGTATAAACAAAAAAAAACCCCATCATACCTCCGTGTACTAGGGGTATATTATGTAATTGTACATCTCTCATTCCTATAAATAGAGGTTCATTTCAAGAATAAAGGTTACGCAATTTTACTGTTCACGACTCAACTCTTTGATTTCTTCCTTTTTAGCGTGCTCTATTCCTTGGCCGTGTCTCCCAGACAGATTAGATTCAACAGTAGTGATGCAAGATATATGTCTTTTCTCAAGGTATCAATATTTATATCTATTTTTGTAGTATTTTACAATAAAAAATAATGTTTTCATGAATTTTTAAATAGAAATGGATCAGAGTAATTGACAACACGTGTCGATGCACGTGTTGGTAATAATGATAAGATTGCATATATCCGACTGTGTGTAGTTGCTACCAAAATATCTTAGCAGTTTGTGATTTCAAATTATTTTACATTCAGATGGTTGGATGGGAAGAAACTGTTGATGATGGTCAAATATTTAAATTTACAACCCCGTGATGTGAATACAAATTTCTAATGTCTCCATCAAATAAGTATATTCATGATTGTATATGAAGCATTTGATCTGAGGATATGTATTAATGATGTTATTATTCAAGAAAATATTATCTTGTCAACAAGGTTTCTTAAAACCCTTCCCCAATACAAGGTACCAACTTTCTGATTTTGAGCACAACATTCAAGTGATTAGAAGAAGGAATGATTTACTCAACAAAAACACTCGCATTACTGAGTGGTATCGAGAGAGCATTCGGTCTATGAAAGAAGTAGGTCATACTTCAAGATATACCCACATATTCCTTCAAAAAATAGGTAAAGATAGTTGTTGCAATAATAATGCTACATAATTTTATAAGGAGGCATTCATCTCGGGACGATATTGATTTCAGGGTCTTAGATGAAGATCCAACATGCATGACTATGTAAGTATTCAAACATCGGGCTGGACAATTATTGCCCGATAAAAACTATGGTAAGTGACTTCAACATATTTGTAGGGGAGGATATTTAGAAGATGATCCAGTTGAGAGGAGATTACATATGCTTTAGTTAATTTATGGAGTGTATTTATGTAGCATTTTGTAATGTCTTCTTATAGATGTTTACTATTTCAAATTTATTAAGGATTCGTATATGTTTACTTTCTATATTTATGCACCACTTTCTATTGCATATCTAATCTATTTTATCAATTAAAGACATAATGTATTATAATCACAGGAGAAATGAGTTCAAGATCATCTAGTGCATTAAAAGCTATGTACTGTCGCTGTAATACGCAGTGTTCTGAATACACATAAAAAAGGGATGACAGCAATGGGAGAAGATTTTATTGTTGTCCCAGAAATAGACACGTGAAAATAGCAGGTATTTTTGTTGTGTTGATGATACAAATAAGTTCACTCCAAATACTGATCAAGTGATAGGAGATGTTGTGGACAAAGAATTAATTCAAAAACTTGATTGTATGGACTTAAAGACGAACATTGTTATAGTCTTGTTGGTTATTTTGTGGGTTTTATTATTATTGTTTAAAGTATGAAAAGATTGTCCAAAATTGATGTATTCGAGAAATTTGGACTCCTAACATGTTTTCTTTAATGCTAAACCTATTTTTGTTATTCTGCGGTAATTACTTTGAAAATTGCACTTATTCAGATATGAAATTGTTTCCCTAGAAAGCAGCTCACAACTGCTTCAACAGAAAGCAACTTTACAGTCGTTTCTTCAAAAAATTGCTTCACAACTATTTCTTAAAAAAATATAGCATCTTCAAAAATAGTTACTGCCCCAAAACACCCCCTTATTCTTCGTTCAAAAAGCCGCAACCAATCTTATTCTTCCCTGCACAAACTCGAACCTAAGCAACTCTTGCTTTTACTTAAGTCGTGAAATCCCTTTCGGATCTGTTTGGGACAACTTTCACCATCTTCGCGTTTTAGATGGTCATCTTAGTTTTGTTTAAAGAATTATTTTCTTGCTTCTTTATAGAAATTTCTATGGTGCAAAGTTATTTTTTTCAACCCGACCTCATAAAATGTTGTGACACTGTCTAAATTTTTGGAAGAAAATATAAATTTATGTTTCCAATCGTAACTTTGTAAAAAGTTATTTTCTACACAACTTTATAACCACCTTTTCAAAAAGCTAGTCACCCAAAATATTTCTCAGCATTTGCCAACACGATATCAAATAGTCCCATAACTATATATATATATATATATTAAAAATGAAATCACAAAAAAAAATTATTTTTATTTCATCATCTCCTAATTGTCAACACTTTCAACGATTTTTAGATATAAAAAGCGAACAAGATTTTAAAAAAACTGCTCGAGAAAATTTGAGTAACTATCCAGATCATTAATTATCGTTAAAGAAGATTTCAGTATTCTTTTGGGAAAATTTTTATAAAAGCAAAAGATTTTAAAATACTCGTGCGAAAAAATTTGAGTACATGTCAAAAAAATTACGTATTGTTCAGAAAAATTGAATATTGGTTCGAACAATTATTTTATAAAAGCAAAGGAATTTTTAAGTTTTTGTTATGGGAAACTCGAACATCTGTTAGGGAATTAAATACGGTTCAGGGATAGTCAAGTACCAGCTCAAAGAAATGCATGCTTAAATTTTAGCTTTTTGAAGGTTAATTTTACAATACTTACTCTTCTATGACTGGTAAGTTAAAAGAATATTTTATCTCTTAGTCATAGTGTCTCACTACACTGACCAATGAGTCTTTTAAGAATTGGACAAACTGTTACTCTCTCTAATGCCCCCTAACAGGAGTAGACACCGAGAGATTGCCAAAACTTTATGTGAATTTGAACTTG